GGTTCAGCTCATCCAGGCTGGGTTGGGGAGCTGTGCTGGGCATGGTTCAGCTCATCCAGGCTGGGTTGGGGAGCTGTGCCCGGGCTCGCTGGCGCTGCCTGGAGTTGCTGCTGCCTGCCTCGCACACCCATCAGCACACAAAGGATGCTGACCACAACCCACCGCTGCCCCAGCCACTGTGGCACTTYCTGTGACCTTCACTTCTGCTTTGCAGGAGAAAGTGGGTGTCAAAATTGTGCTCTTAAAAAAGTTTGGGGCTTCAGCGCATTTCCAGAGTGAGCTGAATGGCAATAAAAGTACATTCGGTAAATATCAATGTGGGTATTATGAGAAAAACCTCCCGACACTTCACGCCACCCACTCTTGAATTATCAGATTAAATAAAGCTGACGCACAGCAACAAAAGTCAAAGCATGCTCGGCAAAGAGGCTCATTTCCTCATTTTACAGAGCTGGGTTTTTCTTTTTCTCTTGAACACCCATGTTAAAGACACAGCTTAACCACRCTTCAGAAAAGGATATATGTTAAGCAGACTGCTATACAATTAAAAACATTATAAAGGAGGGGGAATTCCCCTGCTTGTAGGAAAAGCAGGTGAAATTAAAGCATGGCAGGATAAGTCTTACCTTTCTTTTTGGCTTAACTGATTTCTCAAGATTCCTATACAGAGGGTGAAACTGTGTTTCACATTACAAGGACACAAATGAATTTCTACACCTACAGTAACTTAGACTGCAATGGAGAAAAATCCAAACATTCATTARCAGCTATGCATTGTCCAGTAGGAAAAGGTGGAGCAGAAGCACTCGCCCCTCCACGTCGGCTCATTTGTGGAACGCTGTGGATGACTTAGCTCCAGAGGTTCCTCTCTCATTTTCCATTTCTGCATTGTTCTCTCAGAAGCTCACAAACAATATCCATTTCCCCACTGCTTTTGTCACATGCCAGTAAAAATTGATTTTTCCTGCAGTGTGTCAAAGCAATAGCTGCTTTCCTTTCTTCTCCTGCTTTCTGCATTCCCATTATTGATGTCAGTGGGAAAGGGCACAGCTCAGAGAACGTATTTGTTAAATAGCTGTTGCAGTTCTCTACAGGAGAGCGGGGTAAGAAGCTTACCTCTTTTCTTCTCTGTGTAATGCCAACATGCTGGCTTTTAAAAAACCTCAGTGAAAAATTTGGTGGATTCTTTTACACCCCCCCCCCCCCCCCAAAAAAAAAAGAAGTTTTTTTTGTGAGAAAGAAAGCTAATTCGATTCCTGCATATTTCAAAAAGTCTAATGGTTTTCAGGTAGATCAAGTGCTGGTTCTGTGAACGTCCTCTCTATGGAAAGAGACTCACTTGACTTCAGCACACAGAAGGACCAAGAGTATATTCTGTGTATAACATTCTTCTCCTGCTTCAATTGGATTGGAGAAAAAACCCAAGCATCAAGTTCCTTGAAATCTTTCTGCAAATGCAGGTCCTCTCTGCAGCTTGAAYGTCAGACTGGCTCGCTACTGTCCGGGGTTAAGTGGGTTGTAGGAAAATCAATGCACTTATAAAGGTCCCTCTCAGAAGGGGCTATTTCACAGTAAGGTTATGGATTGACCGAGATATACGAGTGCTTTTACCAGTCACTGGCCATCTCCTCTACAACCAGTTCCCTTTCTGACATTGCCCAACCATCTGGACAATTGAAAAATTGGAAACAGCGGCCGCCTGTGTAAGAGATGCATTTGCAGTTCAGCACAAACTCTTAGGGCCACCATAAAACCTCTCCTGCATCGCCGCGGCTGGGCCGACACAGCTCCCATGCTGTTACTCAGCAATTTCCATCAGACAACCTTGCTTGTGCACAACCCTTTGTCAGCTCAAAGATGCCACCCTCAGAATCCACCACAGCTGGTCTTCTTCTGTGCAATCGAGAAGGCGGGCTCGTGTTCTGGAAAAAGCAGCTCTTCTTCAGACAAAGGAGATCCATGGAAAGAGTACACAACAATAGGAATGAGAAATGAAAAAAACGGAAAAAGGGCCAGGAAGGAGCATGGATTCCTTTCAGGTTTTGTTCTCGTCGTACATGTCCAAGGCAGGCTCGATGGTTGAGAACTCGCTCTCGTAGACCAAACTTCGAGGGGACAGAGAGTTACGATGGAAGAAGTGGCTGCCTGCAARAGGTAGAACAAAATCACTTTAGCAACACACATGAACAATGGAAGAAGTGAGTAAAGCATCCTCATCCCCAGGGGCTGGCTGCAAACACAGTACACATGGGAAAAAMAACCACCCTTTAACACAAACCAGTAACAACCATATGAAACATTTCACCTCTGTTCACATGCTCCCCTGCCAATTTACAGCAACTGCTTTCCATATGCATGAACGGTCCCACCTCAAATGGCTCTTTCAGATAAAACAGSTCAAGTCTGAGCAAGGCTGGGGCAGGCTGGAGTTTTGCACTCDGTGCTGGCTGTTGATTTACAGCCTTGTAAAGCAGGGATGTGCTTCCTCAGAAGAGCCAGAAACACCAAAGCGCTGTGCCCTGCACCAACACCAAGTGCTTCAGCTCGGGGTCGAAAGGAAGGAGCAGGCAGAGCAAGAGGGTCCCCAAAGATCATCCCAGTGATGCTGCTGGAAACCTGATTGCCTCCAGAGCTCAGCAAACTCCATACACAAGTCACCACCTAGAAACAGCCACCCACAGATTTCCTTACACACAACCAAAGGAGACCCAGCCCTCTTCTCCAGCACTGGCAATACCCAAAACAAGCACCACACAGCTGTTAATAAAGAGGGGAGTGGAAGTTCATTCTTTTCTCTTGGTGGCCCGGCATTCCCGTGGCTCTCTGAATCCACAGATGTGTTTCTGCAAGGAGCACAGCCCTCCTGCTGTACAAATGATTCTCTCTGAAAGCATCTATCATCAGATCAGGCCCTTGGCCAAAACGCTTCATTACCTGGTTTCTTGATCCCAGAGGGGATTAGCTGGGAGCAAGGCTGCTTAGATTACAATACGCCAGGCAGCTACGTGAGCCAAACTGGAGGCAACTGAAAAGCTTCCAAGTTCATCAAGAAGGCATTCAGCAAACTGAGGTGCCTCCAGTTTCAGGCATCAGTGAAGCAACATGCTTAGGGAACTGCAGTTTTAGCTCTGGCAGATTTTAGGTGATTAAATCCCTCTTTGCCAAATTTTGAGCTCAACCTACCCCATTCTGAAAAAAAGGGCTTCTAGAACACACGAGAAAAGAATTCAGCTGCTACTATCCAAAACACATTTTCTCCTTCCCCACTCACCCAAAAGACACAGACTTTGTGTGCCCAGGTCAATTCCTTGCTAAGAACAGCAGGAAACTGGAGCTGGGCAATGGATCTGCTGCTTTTTTACCAGCAAAAGTCAGTTACACACATACGCTCCACCATTTGCAATGAGAATGGGAAGTTCTCATAAGCAAATTAATTTATTTTTGATTTCATAGTTAACTGAAACATGAGTGAAATTAACAGTTACATTGAATTGTTCACTCTGCCAGGAACATATACCCAGGTACTTGGAACAAGTGGGCTGTCCTGGAATATAATATACTTCACAGAAGCAGTTTGTGGRGAATGATGAAACACCCATTTTCTGGACCTGAACAGTCCCCCAAATTTACAAATTTCTAAATCTGGGCAATGCTGAAAATAAAAAGAAASAAASAAACAAATAAATAAAGGTTGAGAGTTTGAGGAAAGAAAAAATTTGGAACTGTGACTTTCAGATGATCAGTCTGTCTCCAACAGTTGGACTTGATCTTAGAGGTCTTATGCAACCTTAATGATTCTGATTTATAAAAAAAAACCACAACCCTGAACCTGTTTTGAAATTATACCAGATAGAACTGATTTTGAGACTCTGTTACGAGTTTGAAGGGTGAGTCTCATTTTGCAGTTGAAATAAGCWGTGAATATTGGATATTTCATTTCCCCTTCCTCCACCTGCTGCAATGTTACACACAACCAATGCTCAAACCAGTGGGATTCTAAAAGCTTGGTGCTGGTTTTGTTTTTATTACACAGAAATCAAACATGGGACTAGGAAGCAGACAGCCCAGGCCGTCATTTCCTCTGTGTACATCCAGACTTCCATTCCAGAGGGTTCAAGGGRGAGATTTAATAAACAGGTAGACAGGTCCATCTGAAAACAAATATTTTATATTAATCTGAAATCAGGCAGTGTATATCCAACACGGCCAAAATTCTTTACTGTGATGTTTTTGTCCTTTCTGTCAGAAGAAATTTAAGTCATCCACTTCAGGGATGCTGCAAGTTTCCATACAGATACACATCTCTTGGCTTCCATACCACTTTTGAGACACACTGTTCATTCTTTTCCTAAGTGCCTCTTCTCCCATCCAGTGCAGCCAGCCCAGGGCTGAGAATCCAGCTGCTGCTCAATGTTTTCCGGCACTCAATCTTCAGGTGCTCCATTAACCAGGTCAGGAGCATTGCCCACAGCTTACGGCTGGAGCAGCAGACTCAGCAGGGCACAGTGACCCAGCCACACTCCTCTTAATGCAGAAAATTGCTACTCTTTGTTTAAAAGCATGGCACCAGTCCAGCTGATAAATTTACTGAACAAATGTATTTTAAGGGCAAATACAAACATCCGCAGTTCCAAACTCAGCTTATGAATCTGCTCTATTTTGTACTTACCAAGAAAGATCAAGATTTATCCCTTAGGTATGGAAAACAAACACCAAGGCTGCATGAAGCTTTATTACATGAAAATCCTTCAGGGCTCACTGCCACTATTCTTCATTATGCTTTAAAAGAACTTTTCAGGTAACTTGCACTGAGTCTGAAAATAAACACACTACTCGGGAATTGATCTTTATACCTACCATAGGATGCCACCAAAGSGAGCACAACACCAAGGCCAAAAAGAGACACAGCACTGCAGGTGCACCAGGATTACATATCACCTGGTGTTCCCTTTCCATCTCAAAGTATTTTAATGCCCTTAGTCATCAATCAGGGCCATCTTCTGCCATAAGCTGCACTCTTCCACAGCCCCTCAGGCACAAAGATTTACTATGGAAATCTGATCAGAGCACTCCATACCTCAGCCTGTTCTAGACACCCTCTCAGTTAAGGAACAACCGAATGGGACTATTTCATAAAGCATTCTTTCCTCAAAGCCAGCTTAGCAGGAAACTATGACATGATTACCATCGTGGAGACATGGTRGGATGACTGGCACAACCAGAGAGCTTGCAAAAGCAGATGAAAACTCTCCAGAMGGGATAGGCAAGGAAGGAGAGGCATTGGTGTTCACAGAGCCACTTCCATMATTTACCAGCAGTCCCAGCAACCTGGGGAGCTCCCAGCTGACTGGAGGTCAGCAAATATGTCCCAGCTACAAGACAGGAGGTGGGGTTTGAGCAACTGCAGGCCTGTCAGCTTGACCTCAGTGCCAGGGAAGGCCGTGGAGCAGATCATCTCACCACATCTAGATCATGCCACCACATCTAGGACAAGCAAGGGGTCAGACCCAGCCCKTGGGGGTTTAGGAAAAGCAGGTCTTGCTTGACCAACCTGGTTTTCTGTGACAAGGTGACTGAGTGGATGAAGGAAAGGTTGTGGATGTGTATACCTGTATTTTGGTAGTTTGACACGGTGTCTCTCAGCAAGGTCTGGCAAAAACTGGCTGCCCGTGGCTTGGGCAGGTGCGTCGTGCATGGTTCAAGAACTGGCTGGATGGCTCARCCCAGAGAGTGATGGGCAATGGAGTTACATCCCCAGGCCTCAGTACTGGGCCAGCCCTGTTCAATGTCTTTATCAATGATCTGGGTGAAGGATCGAGTGCACCCTCAGGCAGTTTGCAGCCAACACCAAGCTGGGTTGATCTGGAGGGCAGGAAGGCTCCACAGAGGCATCTGGATAGGCTGGATCAAGATATTTAAAACATACAGATGTGTCACTTGGGGACAGRGTTTAGTGGTGGGCTTGGCAGTGCTGGGCTAATGGCTGGACTTGATCTCAGAGGGCTTTTCCAACCTAAGTGATTCTATGACTTTATGAAATACTGTGGGGATTTCCTTCATCTGTCTATCCAGAGTGAAAAAAAAAGCTTCTGGAATGATGCAGAGTCCATCTTTGAATACATTTATTTAATTTACAGATTGCCTGACCTCTAAGTAGCCTGTCAAAGGTTGTATTGTTAACACTTTCTTGAGACAATCGTGAGAGGCTCAAAAGAAAAACTAGAAAAGATGATGCTGAGTTATTTAAATCCTCCATGGAGGGGAATGCAATACAAAGTCCTAYCAACCCTTTCTTTCCAAAACCACTCAACTTCTCCTTCTGCTGATGTTCTGAAGAAGAAACATGAACTGGAATGATTATGGTGTCTTTTGCATCTGGGTCACTGCACTGCTCACACTGCCCCTGTGCAACAGCTGTAAGTAGCACTTAAGGAATTTTGTTTCAGGAGACAAGAACAAACTTAGCAGTTTTACTGCTGYTGAGAGATGAGTGAAGAAAACATGTATCATAGCTCGTTCCTTAAACCATGCTCTAACCACATTCCTCCATTTTTGGCAACAACACTCAGTTGACACATACTGTACRTTACAAGCACACAGCCCTCGACATAGAATGTTTGAGGTTTTTTTCTTCTATGAGTAAGTCCAATGGGGTTTTCCAGTCTTTCAAAATGCACTTACTGCTCTATTGATTTGTTTTCATATTTCTTTCAGAATTTCACAAGGACACTGAAGATTTCTATTAAATGCACTGAAGCTATCACATTCTTTGTTGCTTATAAAAGCTGCCTTCTCAGCTGAAGCCTGATGGRCAAATAAGAATTAAGAAACTATTTTAATGTAGCATCTGGCTGTGTTCCTAAATTCTGAAAGTGCCTATACATAAAAATAAAATTAAATTAAATCCTCTACTTCCCAGTACATAAAAAAATTAAATCTTACAGCAAAATTGCTTCTCTCTGTTAATTTAATTAAATTAGAAAGCATTCAGTTTCTACATCTTGATCCGAGAACAACAAAACCAACCAAATGCAGAACAGTTTTTAACTTGTGTCAATTACTTTTTCCTTCCCGATTTGTTACCTTCATTTACCCATCTCATTAAGTCAAGCATTAGCATTTGGCTGCGACTCAGGCCCGCATGT